ATCCTGGGTCGTGCCCTTAAAAAAGACAGGTTTCATGAAAAAAAATATTTGGGCACTTATAGGTCCAATCACAAAGCAGAAGGCCTTGTTTGTTCTCTTCGAACTGCATTCCACACCAGTTTGAAATCGTAGAAACAATTTGAACGACTGTGCGGATAGAAACCTGACGCAGCGCTCTTGTACGGATAGCGTCGAGCTTATTCCTGCTACTAATTGAGCAAATAGTAAACGATGCCTATAGCTACCATTCTTTGCTCACATAATATTATCGTGTCCACTTGAACGAACGCTCACAGGAACGCTGCGATTATTTAAAGGGATCACGGCTCAATTTATTGCAGTACATTTTTCCAGAATTCTCCTAAATCGAGAACTGACATTGCTCTGCAGATGATTTACTCAGATCTGTGTGTTCTGGGACACCATCGCTCTGCTTTTTTGCATTGACAAGAGATTCTTCGAGTTTATCGAGCCGAAGCAACAACTCATCATCTGAAAATATCTATTACATCTTAAACGTTTCTATTCGACTCCACAGCCTTGCTCACCTCTCTTATTCGGATGTCCCTCATTGTCTCTTAGATTGAGTTCGCCGAGTTCTACAGACTGTGTACCAGTTTCGTGCAGGGTTCTGTTGTTGTAGCCATTTTCTACAAGCCTCTGTAACAAATTCGAATTCCTAGCTGTTTCGTTATCCAAATAGCGTGTAGTACTAACCCCTGGGCCGGTACCTTGCACAAGGAAAGTCGCATCCCTAATGGACGAATCTGGATTCGTAGGTTGCTGGGAAACCGCTAAATAGTGCAGTTTGAAAGAAGTACGCCGAAATCTATCGAACAGAGGCACACATGAAAGAATGACACATTCGAATTGAAAAAAAATTGAACGATTTTTTATGTACAAATACCATTCGTATCTCCATGGGTGCATGCCCATGCTGCGACTCTATTGCTAGAGCGTATACACGTTACGTTCTATTATGATTACATATTTTTTAAATTAACTCATTCTTGATCCACAGTGGGAACAGGAGGTCACCAAACAAATACCCTCCCTTTCAAAAAACGAGAAGAGCGTCGGGTGCAGACCATACACCACAAGTGACGACGGCCTCCAAGTAAATCTGGTTAGTAGTGGTTCATAGTGATAGCTGATTTTTGGTAAATGATAGTTGTAATTAGTGACAACTGATAGAATACAACTGCAACAGGCTAATCATTTCATTGGCAGAAAACATTTACATTTTGTGGAGGCCGTCGTCACTTGTGGTGTATGGTCTGCACCCGACGCTCTTCTCGTTTTTTGAAAGGGAGTATACTGTAAGGTAGTCTAGAACAAATTTCGCCTTCTATTACTGTACGTTTCAGGTCTCAATTTTCTTATCGATAATCTCAATATGGATCTAGCCTCCAGGTTATCCAGGCCTTTCACGTTTTCAGGGCAGCTTACTTAATTCTGGTAGCTGATGAGAAAAACCGACTTCTACATATTGTTTCAGAAGCTCGGCGAATGCAGACCACACAACTTTACGGGTTGAAACTTCCTCAAGTCGACCGTGGTACAGCGCGCTGCTATATGAGGAGGGCACAGAGACAGGACCACTGCGTGCGGGCATGGGAAGGACCACCCTGGACCACACAGGGGGCGCCTTAACCGTCCCTTCTCGAACCTTGCATGGCCCATCAATAACCTTAGCCAACAGCGTTATCCTTCCCACCGAACAAACTAATCCAGTGGTCGATCCCGGGGCGTGCCTTCGAATGTAAAGTGGAAGGCTTGGGAAGAACGGGCGCCTGAGATAGATCAACCTTTGTCGTGCACAAAATAGGAAAATTTTGGATTTAACGACATCGTTTGTGGCGAAGTAGCGACTCCATGTGAATTTTTGAAAATAACAATAATACAAAAAAAATTATGAGACCGCAGGGTTCCTCCCTGATCCAATCCCTCTTCCTTCATAACTTTATCGCACTTTTTGAAACAATTCTATGTATTCATAATCTCGTAGAGAAATATTCAACAATTGACACTATTGATTCTCTTTAGATAGACCTGAGTTTGACTGAAGATACGGTATGATTATTGGTTGTGGTTGAACCAACGATGACGGCGGCGCAGATGAGAGCTGCTGTTGTTGTCGTTGAAGTTGTAACTGTTGCGCCTAGAAAACTCATTAATTACAGGGTAGGAAAGTCAGACCACGTGAGAAGCAGAGTGCCTTCTGCGTCTCTGCCACTACCGTAGCTAATTATTGATTACCGATTTATGTCATAAAACAAGCCAGTGAACGAGGACCAGTTCGACTTTTTCTCAGTTCCAGTTCCTCCCTGCTTGTTACTTATCTGGTAAGTTGTCGTGAAAGTACTACCTACCTGGATGGACTCATTTTGCTTCCTGAGCTCTTCTGCATGTTTTTCACTGGCTTTGATCTGTTCCTCCATTTGCGCGTGTAGCTTAGCCGTGAAAAATTCATTTTGTGTTCGAAGCGACCTCTCCATCTCCTTCAACCTTCGTTCGAGTACTTTCCCTTAAATCAGTCTGTGTTTGAAATGAAATACAGTGAGGTACAGTCAAACGAGAGCCTCGGCCGGGTGCTAACGGAAATACTTCGACTTTTTCAAAAAGCCAAAAAATCGAGAAGTCCTTTGTGTTCGGTTTCAAGTTAACTTGAATTAACAATAAATGGCGTATCCAAGCACCAGTATAGTCAGTAAAAGTACCGCAGCTAGAATACCGATCACTAACCAGCATGTGGACCCAAATGCACCGACTTTTGTACCACCTGAAAGCATTTGAGAAGGGACGTGAAGATCATCAGAAAGCACAGTTGTACCAAAAACAAAGAAGAATGGCAAAAAAAAAAAAATGGCAAAAACGTTTCAATAGCGCTTTTCTAGCTTGTTATATAATCAAATGAATAATCATCGGAAGAGAAACAGGGCATGGTGTGCCAGTAGTGCTACTACATACAGTAACCTTTTATTCTCATCTCTTTGAGTGGGAAGAAGAACAAGGATTCACAGAAAATCACTTTTTTCGATTCCTTGAAAATAAAAAAAAGTCAGAAGGAGTCATGGACCATGCGTACGTACCGGGCCCCAGTGGTAGAAGAGTAGCACCACGCTTTCAAAACTCACATTCCGTAGTCCACCAAACAGTGTTAAGTTCGTCGTAGTGAGTGCATTTAGTGACATTCCAGTTTAAGTAATTCCACCAACGGAGGTCGGCGACGGACATTCTTCACTAGAGATGGTCGAAAACGCAGGTTGGTGAGGCCTAGCGCGGAGCGCTGATGCCATGGATACTGAACACCATTGCCCACAAAAATGTTCCCGTGGGTGCAGCCACCAAATATATACGTTTTTGGTTTAAGCGTGTTCTTCTGATAGTCCGAAAGTGCCAGTGCTTTGAACAATGAAAAAATTACACGTTTCTGAGAGATATCACTTTCCGAATGCGCCATGTGTGTCTGGGATGTGTGATTAGAATTATAGAGGCGGAAATGTCCTGCTTATTCTAATTCACTACTCTGCTTTGAACAATTTATACATGCTCATTCATTTTTCT